AAACTATGGAATCCAATACAAAAACTTCAGCTTTTCAGGTGCCGAATTTTTTTAGAAATATACTAAAAAACTTCAGCACATTTGGGCCGAAGTTATTTGGAAAAGCTTTAGGACAAAAACTATTCAATATATCACACAAACTTCAGCTTCTCAGGTGCCGAAGTTTTTAGAAATATACTAAAAAACTTCAGCACATTTGGGCCGAAGTTGTTTGAAAAAGCTTTAGGACAAAAACTTTTGAATCCAATACAAAAACTTCAGCTTTTCAGGTACCGAAGTTTTTTGAAATACACTATAAAACTTCAGCAAATTTGGGCCGAAGTTTTTTGGAAAAGCTTTAGGACAAAAACTATTGAATCCATCACACATACTTCAGCTTCTCAGGTGCCGAAGTTTTTAGAAATATACTAAAAACTTCAGCACATTGGGCCGATGTTTTTTAAAAAAGCTTTAGGACAATGCATTTTCTAGCTACTTTTTGTTATTTATCACGTATATCATCTACTTTTTGTGACCTTATTTTTTACTATTTTTTTTATTGCATTTACCAACTACTAGCATTTACCACTTACTTCTTTTGCCAACTACTTACGTTCTTACATTCAATTTATTTGAACAAAAAACTGTAACAATCGCTTCAGCATTTATAGATATTAAATTGATTAGCTGCATTCTTTGGCTATATTAACAATCTCTTCACTTGAAAATTTCATAGTCATCCATAGACTTCTATCAGATTTTCTTTAAAATTTTTTATTACAAAGTAAAAAACCAAGGAAATGTTTAGCTAGGACATGCTTATTGGGTGTAGCAGGGAGTTCGTGGGAAGCAAAGATAGTGAAGGAGAAGTCGAAATACTTCATATGTGAAGGGGAGTGGCCAGATCAAATACTCGAGCACCAGGACAATTTGCTCTTTTTACTAGTTGATAAATCTAACTTTTAGGAAAAAGAGCAAATTTTCTGGTGCTCGAGTTTTTGATGTGGCCAGTCTCCGTCATATATGAAGTATTTTGGACTTCTCCTTCACTATCTTTACTTCCCACGAATTCCCAGATGCACACCAGTAAGCATGTCTTTGCCAACATTTTCTTATTTTTTTCTTATGAAAGTAGACGGTAGTTGCTAAAAAAATTATAGTACTAAACTTCGTCAACCTGTGTCTGACAGACAACTCTTTGGTGGAGGACATAGTGAGGTTTCATGGAATGTGGTGAAGAAAATCAAGAAGAGCAACTATGACATTACTATGGAGAATATGAAGACACTCTGTCAATTTTTTGAATAGAGAATAACTTCTAAACAAAGAACTAATTTTTTCTTTTTTTCTAAGGATGTAAGTGAAAACAAAATTGTATTTTATGAATATACATTATTTTGTGTGAATTATGTGACTTGGATTGATTCAAATATGTTTATGCTTTTTTCATGAATTTCAAGTATATTTTTGTTGAATTTCAGCATGCTAAACTTCAGCTCATCACTAAATACACTAAATAACTTTAGCAGTATCTGGGTAAGTTATTTGAAAACTTCAGCTCCTCATACTGAAGTTTTCAAATAATAACTAAAAAACTTCAGCTCCTAGGCCGAAGTTTATTCATGAAGTATGAATTTTTAATTTAGCCAGTGTAGGAGCAAAATTGTAGCTCCACCTGCTGAAGTTTTCAAATAATAACTAAAAAACTTCAGCTCCTAGGCCGAAGTTTTTTCATGAAGTATGAATTTTTAATTTAGCCAATGTAGGAGCAAAACTTTAGCTCCACCTGCTGAAGTTGTCAAATAATAACAAAAAAACTTCAGCTCCTAGGCCGAAGTTTTTTCATGAAGTATGAATTTTTAATTTATCCAGTGTAGGAGCAAAACTTCAGCTCCCCCTGCTGAAGTTTTCAAATAATAACTAAAAAAATTCAGCTCCTAGGCCGAAGTTTTTCATGAAGTATGATTTTTTAATTTAGCCAGTGTAGGAGCAAAACTTCAGCTCCCCCTGCTGAAGTTTTCAAATAATAACTAAAAAACTTCAGCTCCTAGGCCGAAGTTTATTCATGAAGTATGAATTTTTAATTTAGCCAGTGTATGAGCAAAACTTCAGCTCCTCCTGCTGAAGTTTTCAAATAATAACTAAAAAGCTTCCGCAAATTGGGCCGAAGTTTATTCATGAAGTATGAATTTTTAATTTAGCCAGTGTAGGAGCAAAACTTCTGCTCCTCCTGCTGAAGTTTTCAAATAATAACTAAAAAACTTCAGCTCCTAGGCCGAAGTTTTTTTCATGAAATATGAATTTTTAATTTAGCCTGTGTAGGAGCAAAACTTCAGCTCCTCCTGCTGAAGTTTTCAAATAATAACTAAAAAACTTCAGCAAATTGGGCCGAAGTTTCTTGAAAAAGCCTTAACACAAAAACTTTAGCATGTTTTGGTATTTTTTTAAGTTGATACTTATCTTTTTTTCATTTACTATCTACTTTTTATCTTTTGTCAACTACTTCATCTTTCATTTAAGTTACATTTCTTTTTACTATTGAAAAAATGTGGGGTTGAAGTTACATTTCTTTTTGCATTTACAACATACTTGTTTTTACCACCTAGTTATCTTGTTTTATTCAATTTCTCTGAACGTAAAACAGTAAAAAGAGGTGAAAAGTTACTTTTACATTTATAGATATTAAATTGATTAGGTAAACTCCTTGTCTATATTAACAATCTCTTCACTTGAAAATTTCATAGTCATTCATAGACTTATATCATATTTCTTTAATTTATATTCATCCTTACTCTTTCAGCTTTTGTTAAAGAAAAATTTCTGGTGGAAGTGGAAGTCGGAAGCCTAATATGGATGAAATTATGATGAAGTGGCAGAGTTTGAAGTGTGAGTGGTACAATAACAAACCGATGGCTAATCTTATGCTTTTGTGGGATGAAATAAAGGCTGTTTGGGAGAGAATTAGACCAAAGCTTTGTGCCAATCAATCATTCAAGAACAGGCTTAACATGAAATGTAGTTGTGGAGATAATTCAACCTCGTTCGACAAGGTTGTGCAGCAGTTTGATAGTTTTCAGTTTCCCAGCTGGAACGACTATTCCAAGCTGCAAAACAACCTGAAGACTCTTCTTCCTCTTATGGATAGAGTAATCGTCGAACAAACTCAGCTGCGTGATGAATTTAACAAGTTGAAGATTGATCTTCTTGGACTCAGTGGTCTTTTGCCCGACTACCCTATTGTTATCTCCGATAGTGATGATGATGAGATATTTAGAGAAATTGAGGAGTACTGTGATGATGATGATGATGGTGATGATAGTGATGATTGTTAGTATTTGTAATCCTTTTTTTATGTTCCAATGGTATGATTTTTGTTTACTTCAGCCCATAGAGCTGAATTTTTAGGTTAATTTTGTATAACTTCAGCCCAGGGAGCTGAAGTTTTATTTGTAATATGTGTGTTGTTCTAACATCGTTTCATATCAATGTAATTGTCACCCTCTTTGTTGATATTTGCTTTATACTTCTTAGTTTCTTAGAGATGCTACAACTTTTGTTTGTACATGCGTTTCTTTTTGTGTGCTATACACATATCTGTGTGTGTGTGAGTGTTTGTATGTGTGTTTGTGTGTTTGTTTAAGGATATGTATTTCACATACTGTAACCTGAAGTTTTTCTCGCAGAAGTCATTGTGTACTTTTTTAATATGCAACCAAACCTGTAAGCCTGCGCAACAAAAATGAGTGATTTATACTTTAGCAGTATATAAAATTGTCCAAGACCTTATTTTTTTTATTCCTATGAAAAAAATCGCATTTCAATTATGTTATATAATAAAGAAAGTCTAAATTCAGACCAAGGATTATTGCAGCTTGGAGTTTTTTTTCAGTGTGTTTCTTAGAATATGGATGAGGTGCTGGAGAAGACAAGCAAGTTGTTCTGTTATGCCCAACTTGTTTACATCGACTGCATTTGGTAGACTTGAATGGTACTGATGATTCAGTCGCAGGTATATGCCTCTTCTTTTGTCTTCTTCCTTGTAAAATCTCTACATCGGGAGGTTTTGTGATCTCAGATTGTACATTTTGTGGTATTTCCCATGATTTTTGATCTCCGACTGTATTCACATGTCCTTCATATGTTTTCAACCATGTTTCCCTTGAATACCAATTTGAGCAGTAATCAGATTTCTGCAAATATCTCTTATTAATAGCAGCAATTGCATGTGGACAGGGCAATTCATCCAGTTGGAATTCCAGGCAGTCACAAGTTCTCTTCTTTAAGTGCACAATTAATTCGATTCCTTCACTATTTATTCTAAACAACATTGAGTCAAGGTTGAACACCTAACAAGGAATAAAAAATTAAGACAAGCTATATTAGTATATTTTTGCTTCAAAAAAAAGTATGAAATTTTTTAAGTGTAAGCAGTAAAGCAGTGCAACAGATATAAAAAGCTGAAGTTAATAAATATACTCACAAACATTTTGCAAGCCAAGTCCATCTTCTTAGTCATCTCTTCTTCTGCCCATATTGATACTCTGTGAAAAGTTTCATTTGCCTTTTTTCTCCGTTCGTAAAACCACTCTCCCAACTTTTCTTGGATGAAATCTAACATTCTTAAAATAGGCATTTCTCTCCCTTTTATAAAACAGAATCATTGATTCTACCATGTTTGTTGTTAGCATATCATAACGTTGTCGTGGGAACCACGATCGTGCCCATCTCTCGGGAGGCTCTTCCATTATGTAATTATATGTTTTCTTGTCAATACTTTTGAGTTGGGACATTAACTGATTAAAATCATCACGTTTGTATGACCTTGAAGCACTTTGAAAAAGATTTATTACCGTGGCTTTTGCATGTCTTTGCTTTAAATTTTTCTCAAAATGATAGAGGCAGATACCATGGTGAGCTTCAGGAAAAACTTTTCTAATCCCATTTGCGATCGATTGGTTTCTATCTGACAAGAAAACCAGTTCACGACGGACTTGAATTGCTTTTCTCATTTCCCCGAAGAACTAAATGTATGCCTTATTGTTTTCTGATTCTGCTACACCAAAACATAGAGGAAAGATTTGATTGTTTGCATCCTTTGATACAGCAACAAATAGAACACCACGATATTTGGACTTTAAAAACGTTGCATCTACTGCAATAACGGGTCTACAGTAGGACCAACCAGCTACTGATGCCGCAGGAGCAAAGAACATGTAAGCAAATCTGTACAGTGAAACACGAAAAAAACAAATCAAAAGGTGTGAATTTTTTCGAATAGGAACATTTGAACTTCAGGCTGATGGTTAGTATTGTTTTGCTTACCTATTTTGAGCATCTTTTTTATGCTTGTGTACATTCCTGGGTTTTTGGCCACCATCATGTGTAGGTATGAAGGAAGAATCTGGTAGTTCTCTTCAAGTGTTCCCCTTATGCAAGCAACAGCTTTTTGAATAGCACGCCATGCCTTGTGATAACCAATGTCAATTCCAAATTTCTTTTTCATTTCATTTTCTACAAAGGATGGTGTAACCTCTATCTTTTTGTCTCGAACATGTTCTATAATTTGTTCACTTATAAATTTTGATGTAGAATGCTTCTGATCTGATTTTCTTGCATCAACCGAGCATTCATGGATGTTATGATATTTTATCACCCTGAACAGTGTGGAATGTTTTATTCTGGTAGCATGTACATTCCAACCACATTTGTCCACGATGCATTTCAGCTCGTATCTCTTGGAACATGATCTAACAACAGTGAATTCAACTTTCTGGTTTATCTCCAAGCTGCTGAAAAATTTAGTCATGTTTTGTTTGTTCTCAAAGATTGATCCAACTCTTACTTCCTCAGGCAACGCATCGTGCCTTAGTATTTTACATGGTGGAGATTCCTTCACCTTTCTCCTCACTCTTTTTCTTGATTTCTGAGAAGCACAAGAAGTTTCAGCAATTTCTTCAATTCTATCTGATGGTATCGGTATAAGCTCCATCTTTACTTCATCTTCGTTGTTGCTTATCATTGCAGAAGGTAACAAAAAGCTTTGTTGGATTGTGTGTTGGTTGTCAATTTGCATTACTAGTTGTCCTTCTTCTTCTTGCTCACCGACAAACTGGTATGAATTAATTGGAGGAGGGGGTAATTGTGGCAGCACTATATATTCTAAAGCAGCTGTAATGTTAGAAGGTTGTTGCCCGTTGTCTACTTCTTATTGTCTATCGTACTTCATGTTGATAGTCAGCCTCAGGTTCTGAATCTATCGCATATGCAAGACATTGGTTGAGTGCTGCAGATTCTGAAGGTTGTATTTTTTTGATGACGAAATGGCAATTCTTGTAGGCTGAATCAGTTGTAAGCAAATGTATACACGTACTGAGTTCTTCATCTGAAGTTACAAGCATTCCTTTGCTTGTATTTAGTTTGATATCAAACCATACGTTTAGTACATATCTGATTTGTCACGAACCTAGTTCGCCCTACGTGAACATGTCGTGATGGCACCTAGTCCCTATAACTAGGTAAGCCTAATGATGCGGAAATAACAACCTAACTTGCGGAATAATTAATTAGAACTGAACATATCAAAATAATAACTGCATATAAGGCCGCTCGGCCTATACAACTCAAAAGAAATGCGGATGTCTACAACTCAATCCTAAAACCCGGAAACTCACGGGAACCACAGGCTAATAGAAACATAGTACGCTGCTCTAACTCCAGAATATCTAAACAACTGAGGGAAAAGGGATAAACTAGATACTAAAGCTGGAACAAAATAGAGACTCCTGGTCTGCGGACGTGGCAGATATACCTCGAAGTCTTCGCGTATCTCCTCGCCTCAAGGATAGTGCGCCTGAGTAGAGGTACCTGGATCTGCACATGAAAAACATGCGCCGGAAGGGCATGAGTACACCACAGCGGTACTCAGTAAGTGCCAAGCCTAACCTCGGTTGTGTAGTGACGAGGAAGGTCAGGGCCCTACTGAGGTTGAACAATATAATATAAATCAACAGTATGAAAATAGGCAGTAACAGTGAGTACAGCAGTGGAATAAGACAGACTAAACAAAGCAATAACAAATACACAAAGAACAGAGCAAACACAGAATAAGTACAGCTCAATACCAATGGTAACAATGAGGATCTCCCAGGATACCGTCTCATAGTCCAGCTATCAATATGCAGGGGGATCTATCGGGAATCTAACCCGCAGTCCCAAAGTAAACAGACAAGGGGGGGGGGGGGGAGCTACCGGAATCCCACGTCCGTAGTCCCAATGTAAATGCGCAACCACAGGCAGAAATATACCAAGAAATGAAGTACGAAATAGAAACACAGATAGAACTAGCCTAGCATGCTTCACGTAGAACAGTCAAAACAACTTAAGTAATTTGGCAGTCAAGTAAGCTAAACATGCTTTTCCTAATCTAGCACAAGTTATAAATTCAAGTAGAGTAAGGCAAGTAAGAAAGAAACTAAATCTCAATAATTTAAGTAAAAATCGGATTTTCGTCAATCGGCTCAAGTACACGCTCACGTACAAGGCACTCAAATATCAAGAACAATCCTAAGGGGAAAGCTCCCCCACACAAGGTTAGACAAGCCACTTACCTCGAACCGGCTCAATATCAACTAGAAACCACGTTCTTGCCACGAGTATCCGACTCCAAATGGCCCAAATCTATTCAATTCAGTTACATATCATAAATAATATTGCAAACAACTGATTCCACTAATAAATTTAAAGCTAGGGCGCAAATATAGGTAAGATGACCAAAACGCCCCTCAAGCCAACGTCTCGGAATCGAATAATTTTCACATTTTTTTAGAACCCTCGTACTCTCACGAGTCTAACCATATAAAAATCTCCCAATTCAGAGGTCAATTGCCCACTCAAAACTCAATAGTTTAGGCAATGAAGTTTTACCCCTAAATTATCCAATTTTTTATTCTAAATTCGAATTCCAATGATGTATTTAACTATATAATGATGAAATATAACAAAAAGGGACCAAAGAAACGTTACCCGGTGATCTTCTCTTCGAAACCCACTCAAAATCGCCTTAAACCGAGCTCTCAATTGATTTTTCAACTTATGAAATTAAAATCCTCGAATATATCTGCACAGTGAATACCGCTTCTGCAGTCTAGGGAACGCTTCTGTGGTCCCGCCTATGCGAAACACTGGTCGCTTCTGCGGCTTCTTTTAAAAGGCCAGATCTCCGCTTATGCGGATAAATAACCGCTTCTGCGGTACCGCTTAGGCGGAAAATCAACCGCTTCTGCGGTTCCTGAGGGGGGGACCAAACTCGCTTCTGCGATGAGGGAGCCGCTTCTGCGGTTCCCAAGCCGCAGAAGCGGAAATACCAGAAGGAACAAAAATACCAGCTACTGCAAACTTAGAAATTTCCTCCATTAACCACCCGAAATCATCCCGAGGCCCCCGGGACCTCAACCAAAAGCACCAATACCACCTAAAACCTTATTCGAACTTACCAATCCTTAAAACACCTAAAATAACACCGAAAACCCGATTTAATCAATGATAAGAACTTCAAATTTCTTCCAAATACGCTTTCGATCAAAAACCTAACCAAAACACGTCCGAATGACCTGAAATTTTGCACACACATCCCAAATGACACGACGAAGCTACCGCAACTTCTGGAATTCTATTCCGACCCTCGGATCAAAGACTCACTATCGGACCGGAAACTTTAAAAATACAAACTTCGGCATTTTAAGCCTAAATGAGCTACGGACTTCCAAAATTCATTCCGAACATGCTCCCAACCCCGAAATCACCTAAAGGAGCTAACAGAATCATCAGATTTCCATTCCGAGGTCGTCTTCACACTGTTCCGACTACGGACCATTTTTCAACACTTAAACTCTCATTTAGGGACTAAGTGTCCCAAAACACTCCGAATCCTAACACCGAACGTCCCGGCAAACGAAAATAGCAGAAATGAACTTAGGGGAAGCAGTTAAGGGGGGATCGGGGCGTAAATTCCAAAAACGACCGGCCGGGTCGTTACATGATTGAATCAATATTTGCAACTTCACTAATTTTCTTCACGAAACTATTGAATGATATGTCCTTATTAAGTAGAACAAGTTTTGTATCATGATCCAAGTGTTTGAAATCAGGAGTCCAACTCCCATTGAAAGTTATAATGACGCAAATCGGATTCATCCTGTAGACTGTAGTTTTGGTTAAAAGTCATAACAAAAGTGTCAAATGTAGGACAAAAACTTCAGCTCATCACTAAATACACTAAATAAACAAAAGCTTTACGACACATACTATCGAGTCCAGGACAAAAACTTCAGCTTAACAAGTGCTGAAGTTTTTAGAAATGAACTAAATAACTTCAGGACATTGAGCTGAAGTTATTTGAAAAAGCTTTAAGACAAAAACTATCGAGTGCAGGAGAAAAACTTCAGCTTATCAAGTGCTGAAGTTTTTAGAAATGAACTAAATAACTTCAGCACATTGAGCTGAAGTTATTTGAAAATGCTTTAGGACAAAAACTATCGACTGCAGGAGAAAAACTTCAGCTTATCAAGTGCTGAAGTTTTTAGAAATGAACTAAATAACTTCAGCACATTGAGCTGAAGTTATTTGAAAATGAATTCAACAAACAACACGTTTCAGCATTAATTGCATAGTACACAGGAGTGAACATAATAAAGACAATTAAAGTAGTAATTATATTCCTATCATATTCATGCACGCTTTTCTTTAGACAACGTTTAAAATTCCTCTTTGCCTTTTCATATACCATGCACAATTTTTTTTCACCTATAAAAGCACGCTATACTTTGAGAGTTTATTCACTCAAACAAATATATTCTAGCATACATAAAATACAAATAGAAGAAAAATGGATGCTGTCATAAGGCAAATAGTAGAAAAGCTGAAGCAATACATTATGGAGGCATTTGAATTAAAATTGGATGAGGTGATAGACAAATATGACAGGCAGCTCGAAGAAATCAACCACAAGCTCGATAGGCTTCTGATGCATGCAAGATTTGATAATCTTGCTGATGAAGATGCCCGTCCATCTGGTAGTGAGAACGACGACGACGACGACGATGATAATATGGACAATTAGTTTTCTTTTTGTTATTTTTGCTATTTTGTTATTCATGTTAATTTATGATTTTAATATTTAATGAAATGTTAAGTTTTTGTCGCTAGTTTTTTGTGCGTTTTATTTGCGTTTTTTCTATTGTTATGTTTATGTTAATTAGTTTTTTCTTGCTTAAGTCTTAAATAATAACTAAAAAACTTCAGCTCTTCCTGCTGAAGTTTTTAAACAATAACTAAAAAACTTCAGCACCTAGGCGGAAGTTTTTCATGCAATATGAAATTTTAATTTAGCCTATGTAGGAGCAAAACTTGAGCTCCGTCTGCTGAAGTTTTTAAGTAATAACTAAAAAACTTAAGCAACTATGCCGAAGTTTTCAATTATTAACAAAAAAGCTTTAGCAACTATGCCGAAGATTTACAATAATCATATAATGTTTTAATATAATTTCTTCTTCGTTATGTTATTTGCCAGCTCGTTAACTAAATAACTTCAGCTTAGAATGTTAGAATTCATCGTCAAACAGAAATCAGCATATCAGTGAAGTTGCTCAAACAAATCAGAAAACATATAATTCAAAAAATACTTACAATGTATTTGAATTTGAATTTGAATTTGGAATTTGAATTTGAATATGGAATTTGAATGCGAGACGCGATCTCTGGAGAGACGGACTGATGGAGGAGATACGGAGGACATCTGGAATTTGAATCTGGGAATACGGAGGAGAGACGGACTTTTATATGTTTTGGAAGGGGTATAATGGTCATACTGTTACGAAATTTTTGTTAGTTGGTTACCAAATCAATAGTTTTTAAAAACAGGGTATAGGTTAAAAGGTGGCATAAAAATAGGGTACGACTGCAAATCCCCCTCGGTTGAAGCTCAGATGGGTT